GGTTTCCCCCCATTGTGCGCCCTTTCGATTGCATAATCTCAGTTATAAGCCCAGTACATATTTGAGCTTATTTTAAACAAGCAGCCGGTATTTGATGTGACTTTGTGCAGATATGCCGATCTACTCGACAGAAGCTCGTACGTGTAAATATGCGCCGAGATGTGCAAGCGCATAATAGCTCTTTAGGAAGTCCTTGTTACGTATACTGCGAAAGGGTTCGACTAAATTGCAGAATCTGTACAGAGAATGCAGGATCCACGTATAGAGGATATGATTCAAGCCCCTGACCGTATTGGTATGTGTCGTATAATGGATGTTGTGTTGGTTTATCGACGTGTTTTAATGAGCTTTAAAATCAAACTTTCTGTAAGAAAATTTTTATTTAATTGCAAACTAAAGTGTATAGAATAATTGTTTTCTGGCAATATTGTTGGAATATTGTTGGCTTAATTAAGTTGTTTGTACCGCTGGATTTTTCAGAAATTCCTGCATCTGATTCTAGCAGGTAAACGAAACAAGTATGAAAATAACACCCAGGGATCAATCATAAGCACACTTATGCTTTTTTCAGAATAATGCCGACCAACTAGTTCTCAAATTCCAAACTAAAAAAAAAGTAAGTACAATGGCCTGCACCAACAAAAGCATGTAAATTCACTCATGCTTTTTTTTCATGGAAAATTGCGCGGGCATAAACATGTGTTTCTATTTTCTCCTTCGAAAAATGTATCTGTCGTAACAATGTCAAGATTGATTGGGCGATGCCTTGGACACCCTAAAAATTAATTCGATTTTCATCGCTTATTAGATGTCTTATCAGATGGAATACAAGGGCACTTACCCTACCAACAGCATCACCGTACAAACAAAATCCACGACCAAAAAAAAAAAAAAACTCCTAACGTGAAAAGAAAATCGGGAAAGTACCAACAAACAAAAAACCTCAAAATCCGTCACGTGCGAGGTGGTAAAAGTTTCCCTGTCGACCTCCTGTGTGGAAGTTTGAAAAATTCAGTACCCCCATCTGGTGAAGAAAAAAAAATGGTCAGGTCCACTTGCGCCCGAGAAACATAATTTTCTAGTCACGATTCCTTCCAGAAACGCAAGCACAATACCCGCTTATTTCCCGCCTCGAGCTTCCCTCGAACGGACCATACAAATACCAACGCGCGATCGGCATATACAACTCACCCAGACGTCCTTTTCTCCTCCCGCGCTTCTTTCAACGTGATCAAAAGGGGGATGCAGCAGCGTCGCCGGTCACCCCTATTCAGCGAGCCACCGGCTTCCCGGCCGCTCGTATAACGCGTACGGGGAAAAATAGGCGCGTCCGAAAAAGTTTTCCTCGTACGAGTGGCCTGTTAGAAAAGCCTTTCACTCGCACGCGCGTGCGGAGGGGCCGGAAAGTCTTTTTTTTTTTTCACTGTATACACGCGCGTCCTTACGACTCTCAGGTGTACCGGCTCTTTTTTCAAGCGCACGCGGGTAATGGCAGCGAAAGCTCTCTAGCACCTTTCTTCCCCTTCTCTTTCCCACTCGCCCGTTATTTTTCTCCCACGTGCCCCCTTTTTTCCACGGCTTCGGTCGAACTGCGAGCCGTTTCGCGCTTTTCTTATCCACACCGTGCCTTGAGCATAAAAGTGGAGACTGTTGAGAGTAAAAATTACGCGGGCGATGAAAGGAGGCTTTAATTAGAAGCTACGTGCGCAGAGCATTAGCCACGAGTGCGCACTCGGTGCCGTTTAAGTATTGTTATTTAACAAGCGGCTTTGGGGTGGTTGAAGAGGGAGATAATTGAGGGAATCACAAGAATTGGAAAAAAAAGTAGCCTTTATTTTGTCTTCGTATACTTTTGTATCGGCAGATCGGCAAAATTAACGGATAACTCAGATTTAGGTTGAAGAGGCAACTGAAACAGATTTTGGTCGCAAAAGTAGATAATATAGATTTAGCTTTAAAAAAATCACCTGGTGTATTCGATATTATGAGAGAAACATCTAATTCTGATTTTGGTTGAAAAAGCACTTGATTCAGGTTTGGGTTAAAAAAAAAAAACTTATTAAAGTCCATACGAAGAAACAACTGATTCATCTTTCAAGTTGAAAAATGACTAATTCAGACTTATATTACTACATAAACTGGCTAGAAACTCGTCAACATGTTATAAGCCCATTGACGCATGTACGTAGAAACGTTACTACATAAACTGGCTAGAAACTCGTCAACATGTTATAAGCCCATTTAAGTATGTACATTGACGAGTTTCTAGCCAGTTTATGTAGTAATTTTCTACCAGGGCAGGTAATCCTAACTGGGATTGAAAAAGCAGATTCAGATTTATGAAGAAAAAGGTTTGCTTTATGTGGCATACAAATAAAACAACACCGCTACTAAACACACAATTTGAGGGAAGAAAACCATGTATCATAGCTGCTTCTTCAACCCAAATCTGAACCAGATGTTTCTTCTTCCGATTCGTATCCACTAGTTTTACGTGGATGCAGTAAATAAATAATTACCTAGGTACGGACAACAAAGTCCCAAATATTGCAGAAGGTTTCAATGTTTTTAAAAATATGGATAAATGGCGTTTATTCTTCTACTTTCTAAGCAAAGAAAAATTGGGAGATTTGGAAAAGAAAGATGATGCAAGGAAGTTTATTGCACGTTCTCATTATAGAGAGCGAAATTTCATTTAAACTCAAATAATCCCTACGGAAGGAGCGGGAGGGCCTTACGTCTTTTGTAGCGAAGTAATTACGCCACGTAACTGGCCGAGGGGATAAGGAAAAAAAAGAGAGCTTAAAGCTCGCTCGGCGCGTTGTATGTACGACCGGAGTCAGGAAAAGCTCACTGGCCCGCAAAAGCTCTGACTTTCTTTCGCCGCGGGGGCGCACGTGCACACGTGAAGCATCGCACATCCGTCCGAGAAGCTTAACGAAGTAAAAGAAGACTCTATAGTTTTCCTCTTTCTTAACTACCCTGAGCAGCTTTTTCTTGCAGCAGAAGGAGGCTTGATGCGCTTGCAAGCACCACAAGATAAAAATTTTACGGCGTTGCAAGCTCGCGGGGAAATTAAAAGTTAAAATGACCCCGTTGCTGCTGTTTCGCTTGCTTCGGCTATTGGGCTTTTCGATGTTGTGCAGTACAAATTACTTTAATACAATTTAATTGGTCTGACTCAGAAATCCATTAGCAATTTACCTGATAAGTACTATGGGTAAAATCATTTCTAATGAAAATTAAATTAAATCCCGGAAAAAATCACATAGAACAAGCAAACTTATCAAAGTCCAAAGTTAAAAAAAGAAAAAATCACTCAACACCTTATCCTTCACATCAACCACAATAATTCACTCGTCTCTATCTCTCCCACTCTCTTTCTCTCATCCCGAAAAAGCACCCCAATCTACTTAGCGTACAAACAAGTCAAACAAAAGCTCATCGCCAATAATTATCCTCTGTTGACACGCAACGTGAGCATTACACTGGAAGAAAAAGTCGGTACAAAAGCTTCCGTGTTTCCTACGAACACGCAAGCGAGCGAAAATGCGCCAGGAATCGTAAAATGTAATCCAATAGCTGGGATGTCTCGGTTATGTTTGACCAACTACTCTCGCTCGTTACCCGTATTTTTCTTGCCCTCCCTTTCTTCACCCCCACTGAGTCTATATACGTATACGTCGTTGCTTCCGTGAGATACGAGCCCCGAGCTGTTGCAACAATAAAATGAAAAAAAGCAGTTGTGTGCGTGTGTGTGTACAGATATGAGGCTCCGGAAGATCGAGAAAAATATTATCAGGTGCTGATAAAATTATAGCGTAGCATCCTCCTAGTTCTGGCTAAGTATCAGCTTTAAGCTTTTCAACGAATAGAGCAACTTTGACGGAATTGTGAACATTTGATAAGCCTGAGCAGTTGTGTTTTCCTACTTTGGAAGGTCACTTGTGCTTGGAATTTCTGAAAAATGCTACTTGCATTAGTAGAAAAGATAAGAATTATGAAAACCCGGAAAGGTTGTTGAAATTCAGTTTTGAGATATCCATGACAAAGCCACTGGTTTCTTACTGACACTACTTTGGGTTCAAAGTCATTGGCTTTTCGAAGATGAGCTTTTCTTAATCCAAGCCGCAAAATTTTAGAACAAAGGTTCCATTGGAGTTATTAGAATAAATTAGTGATGATAAGTTTTTTCAGAAAATTTCAGTAAAATTTACCGATGACTTCATCCATGTCTCGTGACGTCACTTGATTAAATTACTTATTATTACTATTACTTATAACTAATTATTACTAAACTATTTTAAAATTTGCTTTCTTCCAACGTTAAATAAATTTTTTACTAAAACGCAAAAGTCATTGTGTATTCATTGTGGAGTCATATGGACTCTCTCCATTATACTTGTGAACGAGTGAACTCATCAGGATTATAAGGATCATTCACAGGGGTCTGATCCAACTAGGACCAAACAGAGTAGGGCACAAGGGTTTTCACGTAAATGGTCAAAGGCTTGAAGTTATAGCAGGTAATGTGAGTCTTTTGCGGCAAACGTTTAACTAGTGATCCTAAAAAATCTTCATTCCTCGAGTTGACTCATGCGACCCTTGCTGAAATCAATGCTCACAATATCATATTGTTACAAAGATTTTCAATTTTACACTGAAAATACGTAAGATACGTGCTCGTGTTACAACCATCGTTATCAAAATAATCAACACTGTTATTATTTTTTTTCTGCCAACAGCAAGATAGCGTTCATCTTCGCATCCTACCACTACGACTATAAAATAACTGACAACAGTATATAAAATTCAAGTAACCGCAGTATCAACGACAAAACACTTGGAACAGTGTCCAAGCTATGGAGTTGAAAGTAATGTCCTGGTCTTGCAACGTTTGCAGCAAAAAGTTCGACCTTTTGGACGATTATCGGACACACAAAAATAGCCACAGGAATAGTTTCCACCGTTGCTCCACGTGCCACAAGTATTTCAGCGAAATGAGCCACCTGGCGATGGACAATTGCGTCGCTTCCGTACGCCCCCACGACTTCTCGGTTTGCCAAAAATCCTTCAGTCACCAAGGTAACCTCAGAGCTCACATGCGCATCCACGCGGACAACAAGCCCTTTGTTTGTTCCGAATGTGCTCGGGCCTTCAACTCGAAAGGAGATCTTGTAAGACATATTCGCACCCACACGGGCGAGCGACCCTAAAGTTGCTCCGTCTGTCAAAGAGATTTCGCTCGATCCGACGTTTTTAAACAGCACGATTGCTCGCACGTGGACAAGCCCCACAACTGTTGCGTGTGCTCGCGAGTTTTCAAGAAAAAAGGCCATCTCACGCAACACATGCGCGTCCATACCACCGACAATAAGACTTTTTCGTGCTCCTTGTGTCCTCGAGTTTTTCCGAAAAGCAGGGATCTCACGAGACACGTGCGTACCCACGCGGTGGATGAGCCCACCAAGAGGTGCAGGCAAGTTTTGGAAAAAGCTTCGCCCAGCTGTACGAGTTCCCAAGCCGATCCCCCAAAACGTCACAATACAACCCAAAAACGGGAAAAGCGCTTCGAGTGCTCTGTGTGCCAGGCTTTTTTCACTACCACTGGTGGTCTGAGGGTTCACCAGCGTACCCACACGGGCGAGCGCCCTTATCGGTGCTCCGATTGCCAAAAGACCTTTATCACCGTGGGCCATCTTAGGAACCACCAGCTCTCTCACTCGGGCGAGCGTCCTCATCGCTGCTCGGTGTGTCGAAAAGACTTCGTCAGGGCCCAAAGTCTCCGGGCCCACATGCAGTGCCACGAGGTGGAGGGTCGCCACGAGTGTCCCTTGTGTCGGAAGAAATTTCGCAGGAGCAACTATCTCAAAGTGCACATGGGCGTCCATTCGGGGGAGAAACCGTACGGTTGCTCGGTGTGTTTCAAGGAATTCAGACAACCCTGCCACCTCAAGAGGCACATGCTCACTCACACGGGTGAACAACCCTACGAGTGCTCCGTTTGCTCAAAAACCTTTAAACAGAAAATTCATCTTTCGCTGCATGTGTTCAGTCATCATAAGTGGGGCCAGCCAGTTCATGGGGATATTGGACAAACTCGCGGGTGAAAAGAACAGTGACGACAAATAATTTTCTTTGTATTAGCCTTTTTGAACGTACTTAAAGTTTCCAGTATGTGTATGCTTTTTGCTTCATTAAAACTATTTTGAAATATACGATCTTTGGAACGATGAGTTTTTTATTGAAGAGGTGATAAGACTTTTACTTTTTTTTTATTGCGTCTTGACAGTTTCAACCTCATACTTTTTTGGGGCACCTAGTAGTGCCGAGACACGCTATTATATGTTTTAAGGATAACCCTTTTTTCAAGTGTAATGATAAACTTTACAAACGGAATGAGACCAGGCCATACACGTAAGACACGTAAAACTTTGCAAAGAAAACCCATGAATTTTAATATCCTTCACAAGCAAGAACTAATGTATATGTACGTATATCTACTTTTGCATTTGGACAAATTCTCTCCAAAAGTAAGCGTGCATACCAATCCAACGATCTACCATCTACCGCATAAAAATTGAAACCAGTGCGAGTGTGCAACAACATCAGCAATTTAAAGCCAAATCCATCGGTCTCCGCGAGCTTGAAAATTCATCCATCCACCGTCCATTTGCGCATTTATACACGACCGAAATCCGTCTGCGATCATTCCGTAGTACCTTTACGTATACCGCATCCTACCAACAAGTAAGTACTACCCAGAGAGAGAGAGAGAGAGAGAGAGAGAGAGAGAAACGAACCTTTAAATAAATGAGCGCGCGATGCAGAAACTCTCTCTCTCTCTCTCTCTCTCTCTTGGTAAGGTACGGGCGAATGTTTTATGCATCCCAGGACCTACATACGCGGCAGCTCTTTCGAGTATCATTCGCTTGGCGTCCTTTTCCCTCTCCGTGCCTTAACGTGTACATCCATGGGCAACACGTGTACGCAAACGTGGACCGAAGAAGGGGAGGGGAAAAGAGAGGCTCGGATGACGTACTGGCGATTTATTGAAAGGTCGAGCTGGGCCCCGTTAACGATTCGCGTCGTACACCCCTGCCCGTGTGTGCTTATACGTGAATTTATTTCGACGACGACGCGGATTCCCAGGAATCTCGTGCATGGACACGAGTCGCGGAAAGTGTACCCTTCCGCGTTTCTCTTGGTTTGGCATCCCCCCCCCCTTTCTTATTCCGTGGTTTGTCGTTGTTGCGGTGGTTGTTAAAAAGAGCTGAGTTTGCGATTGAAATTTCTCTCGATGGGTATGTACACCATTGTCGAGGATTTGTGTATGCAATTACGGCGGTCGCGACGCGTACGTACGTACATCGACTTTATTTGGTTTATTATGAGAGCGAGTTGGGTACGAGGGGGAAAAAATGATAACTACGAGTGACATGGAGTATACAATCATCCGGCAAATGGTGGGCACATCGTGTAAAACTATCGATTTTCAATTCATGCGTGGTTTGCACGTCTTTGAAGGAAAACATTTTTTTATGATGAGACTAGATGTTCGTTTCAAGGTTTTTATTTCATGAGTTCTTGAATTTGATCTTTTTAAATTATCATGACTATCCAGTAGTTCAAAAGGTTTATCCATAGTATTTATTGTTTTAAATATTTTCAAAATCTATAGTAAACTTTGAGAATATTTTCGTGACTATAAATGATTTTGAAAAATTTCAAAGGACTTTCTTCATTAATTTGGAGGGTCCATAGCCGTTGGCCTCGAGATATTTCAAGATCATTTAATTACCCATTGAGAATCCTGTAATAATACTCCTAAAAGTTTCAGGTGGAGTGACCATGTAGTTGTCACTTGCTGACTGCACTCGTAGCTTCTAAAAACAAAAATTCCTCCGCCTTTGCACTCAGAAAAATTTTACCACTCTGCAATAGAAATGGACCTGTAGTATTTTCGTTTCCACGAAACATCCCCGTCGCTGGGCGCTCAAATATTTCTGTGCACCATGCTAAAAGGGAGTATCGCTTGGAGCAATTGTTTTTCCATCAGCCCGACAAGTAGGTCAGCTGAATTTTGCAAATTTTTCACGGTACAATGAAAATTCCAACTTTCAACGGAGCCCCGAACTTCAATTTTAATGCCATCCATCCGAAGCCCCGTGTAGCAGGTACTCTCGACTTATGAATTTTTCGGATTACATCCGTGAAACCGCCTTTTCCCGAGCACCGAGTTGCTGTATTCCATGCAAAAATAATTCCAATTAAAATTTGCATATTGCATTCTTCATCGTGCATAGTATTATTACACTTACAGCATCTAAAAAATGAAAAAAAACCTGACGCACGCGGTCACGTACCAATTACCGCTACCGTCGATCCTGCAGCCATCTCATGAAGCACAGCTCAAATGATAATTGCACACGCTTCAAAGGAAAATAGAAAGAAAAAAAAGCCCAACGAGACCTTTCTCGCGCAACTGCATTAGTAATCACCCTAAGAAGCCACGCTTGTGCCTGTATAGATAGATGCACTGCGTGCCAAACAACTTTGGTGTGAAGCCCTTCAAAAAATTGAAACATTTTCCTGACACCAACGCGTTCCATGGACGGACGTGCCTGGCAGCAAGGCTCCCCAGCGTCATCCACATCGCGTGCAGTAGTAGACATATTTCAATTACAAGCAGCGCACAACCTTTCCAGCCAACGCATCCTTTTACCCTTTTTTCCTCCCTCCCCCCCCCCCGCCACATCGCATTATATTTCTTCGGAAAACAAGAAAGACCCTCACACTTGTACTGCATAATGCACACGAGCCGCAGCTACTCGTTGCACATAGGCCTCGGGAGTGCTCCGTATCCGCGTCACGCACCTTTTACTCTTCTTTTTTCTTCTCTTCTTCCTGTAGGTACATATACGTCCCCTAACCGCTTCGAGACGAGCTTTTTCCTGCACCGATCCGCTTCGCTATTTTTCCCTTTGTCCCTCAGCCACCCGCTGTTGCTGGCGATGCATACACGAACGAGCGATCCACGTTGCATCGCTTTGTTTTGCTTTCATTCTGGCGAGCCAACGAGCGTTTGCGTACACGTGATGCTAATGCATTTGCTCCCTTATGCTATACACGCGTGTTGCTGCATGTACCACAACACAAATGCCATTTTTTCCCCTTTTTTCGATCGACTGCTGTGGGTAATCGTTTTGTTCGTGTACGGTTGAATTGAGCAGGTGTTTGCCGGGTACTTGACTCATTTCAATCCTCTCGATGCTGCTACTGTGCTACGCGTGCAAAGACAACCCTGTTTTTTTGGGCTTTGTACTTGAGGGATGCATTGGCCACTTGTGTACGGATCGCTGGATCCGTGCACGGGACTAATATCTTTACATTTACTTAAAACAATATTACGTTTAAATTGTTCTTACTCTAAGATATCTTTCTATTTCTCCATGAAAAAAGTAATACAATGCTTGATTAAATAAGTAAAGATTAATGCTTACGTCGACATCTTAACATCACTTTACCATGAATAACACCAACTACTTATGTTTCTTGTAAAAAATTAAATATTGTGTCAACATCATTAAGTATCTTCTGATTTAGGAGCTCAAAAAATACCTAACTTTTAGATGACAACTTCACTAATCTCAGGTATCTTAGTCCAGAGCTCATGCAATTTGTCTTATCAATCCGATTATAAGTCAAAGCATAATTTTCATTAGCATGCCTCAACGTGCCTAATGTACTCGACTGTTTCTACTGATCCAAATAATTAATTTAATGTAATACATGTAATTCATTCGCACTACTCAATGGGCTTATCATACTCGACTGTTTCTACTGATCCACGTAACTACTGTGATGTAATACACGTAATTGATTAGCACGACTCATTGGGCTTGTCATACTTGTCTGTTTCTACTGATCTACGTAACAACTTTGATGTAATACATATAATTTGTTAGCTTCCTTTGCCAACATTCCCAAACGACAAGGACATCTTGTATGCAGATGCAACGCAGAGCACATGAACGTGAATATAATACATAATAACTGCTTATTCAGATGGACATCAGCTCGTGGTGCATCCAGATCCACCTTTCGACGATTAAGTAAATTTTAACTCAATAATAATAAAAAGTAAAATTGCACACTACGCGCAATCATACCCTTATAATCTCATGGCAGCGTGGATCACCTGCGAGCCATGTACACCTCACACCCTGGCCATTCGTCGGAAAAAAGGAGGAGGGAGAAACAGAATAAGCGACACATCGCCTTCACTCCTGTCCCTCGTACACATGTACGTACGTTGCCTGAGGGACAGGAGCAATAATCCCTCATTTTTGTATGCCATCTACTTTGCAGAGCAGCGTCAGGTACACGCATGTGTACGGTAGACAGGTAGTCCCCACCCCCTGCCCTCTTCCAGATCTTCATCCTCTTCACGCGCTCTTTTACACAAGCCCAGCGTGTGTTCGCGGTATCTACCTCCTGCTGGTCTGCTTCTTACGTTAACAATATGTATATATGATATTCCTTCGTACGAACGATATGCTAACTTGACGACTTGGGAATCCAAGGAATTTTGCGTTGCCACTGTTGTACGGCATATTACATCCGTACTATATGAAGTTCATGGCTTCGAATTCGGTCGAGTTTAAATGTAGATTTACATAATCGGTGAGAAAAACCGCACCTAGCAGTTGTGCTGTAATATTTATACGATAGAAGTTAGGTTGTACCATCGATGATAACATCATCAGCCATAAAAATTAATTAAGATAGTTTTTCAGCTGTACAATCCACAGGAGAGTTACGAGATCAGTGTATCATATAATCTGTATGATGCTGCTGAAATAGTCGCGATAGAAGTTATTTATGATGGGAGGGTAATAGGTGCTTCATTGATCAATAATAGGTCAATGTAGGTTCAAGGTATAGATTCGCCGCTCTCAAATTAACTCCCAGATTGTCACCGTCAAAATATTTGAATTTAAATTCTAGCGAGTAAAACCTGAGTAACGAGTTTCAAAGGAGTTAATAAGAGATGCCGTTGCGTCACGCAGTGTAGCCTGTCACGAAATTAAAAAGCTCTGCTTTGCAA